TAACGGTAGCTTACCACCACCTTGCAGTTGACGTTATCAATGGAATTATTGAGCGTCCGCGTGCGCCAACGCCACATTTATGATTTTTACACCCCGAATCTTCTTTATTGAATTGGGAAGGCATCCACTCTTCACAACCTTTGATAGGGCTATAGTTCCTACGACTACAATGTCGTTATGATTCGCACCCGTTATGTAAGCAATGCGATTCTTTATCAGGTTTACCACTGTTTTAAATTATTCTTGTTCAGCGCCAAGATTGAGCTTTTGGCTTTTTGAATACAGTTGCTGGAAGAATCAGCGCTGCATAATTGCCCCCAAGTTTTAGAAATATTGTGGAAAAAATGCTTTTACAACAACGAAGTTGTTTCAATTCTCCAGAAAGTATGAGTATCTTGTTGCCGTTTTAGTTTTTTGTCAGTTTTAGTGAAGAAATTGAGACTCAAATATTGGACTCTGGCCTTTTGTCAAAAAAGCCAACATTTCTTTCTCGCTCTATCTCTCTCTTTCTCCCGACAGTTTCCACTCCAGAAAGCGATTTCGCTATTGATTAAAGAGAAGTCGAACAGTCTTTGCTGTTGTTGGATTCATATTGCCAATCATTCTATTGATGCCTTGGTATGCCGTCAGAAAAAGTCGCGGACGATGTAGTCTTGTTCTAGACTGAATTGTATGAGAAGAAGTTCTTCAATATTTTCACCTTTGAAATTGAGATCTACGTACCCTGTTGAAACGTTTTTCATTTTGAAAGATGAGAACTTCATCTTAACTTCGTGTTAATTATCACATGGAGACGTTTGTGATCACGAACGTTCGCCAGCGGAAAGCTTGCTTGTCCTTGGAAGCTTATCGCGCACAGTTCTGTTTGCGTATTAAATTGTCACATGGTAGGAGAAGTGGTAGACTTAATTTTGTTGCTGGTGTCAGTCACGCGTTGTTCATTTTCGGCATGTGATTTGAAGTAACGAATGTTATTGATTTATATATGTGTTACATTGAAAACGATATGTTCTCTTGAGAGATCTGCTGATTGAATTCGATGCTGACGTTGCTTAGGTATAATACTGTTTTTAATTTGGAAGCATTCATGCTATAGTCTTTCCAAAACGCATATGGCTTATGTTGCAAAAACCGGTTTTCAACGACATCTATTTTTACATTTTGTCTTGATCCTCATTTACTTATATGTATTGACTCTGAGTCAGAAGCGGTTGCTGACGAATTGACTATTCAAAATGCCATGAATTTGCTTCTATGTCTTTATGCTGTGTAATTGTTTTTATGTAAACCAGGCATGATAATCACCTAATTGACTCATGGGCTACGTTTATGCTAAATTTTACTGCAGGATATCTAAGTTTGCAAAATTTTCTCTATAATTAACAGATTATAGCTATTATTAGTTAATTTCACAAAGTTCTGACAAAAAAGTGCTCCAAGATGAAGATGACAGCATTTCAAAAAGCTGTGTATTTTTTAAAATGTTACGCTTTACCAACTGAAATTTTAGAATCGGCACGAACTGGCTATCCGGTGAAGAGCGATCTCGGCTAGAGGCCGTTCAACGCGACTGGCGTCTTAGTCGTCCATACAACGCCAACGCGACCAATCGAGTGAGTTTTGCAAAGTATTAGCTCTTATTAACTTGCTTCTCTTCCTTCTACCTGTATTTCTTAGGTTTTTTTTCAGAAGAAAAAGTACGCTTGTAAAATAGTAAGTATTGTTTGGAAACAAAACTAATTTATCAGGGTGTGGTTTAAATGTGATGTTTCTGTTGCAAAAAACCATGTCTTTCAAAGATAATGTAGGTGTGTGAACGGTGAAAAGTCAACCTTGTCACGTATACCCCCTTGAAAACGGGATTAAGCTTTGGTGTTAACCTTTTCGCTTTGCTATCTGTGTTTACGAAGATGTTCAAATATTGCCTTTCTCAATATGAGCATTAAAAATGCGCTTTTTTTTGTTATTTAGTAAATATGCTCAGAGTCAGATTGAATATCCTTTGTTTTCTAGCCATGGATTCGAGCTCGTCATCGAGAACAACAACAACAGCAACAATCACCAGATAATAAAACACCCATTCCTGCAAACGCTGATACTGGGCTTGTTGCTGCTCCACAAAATGCACTTGTTCCAATAACTGCGCAAACGAGCATATTTGATCGTACAAGGTTAGTCATTATTGACATAACGAAACCATGCTTATCTCAATTTTGCCCTCTTCTACTTTATATCTATGCATTCTGTTATTTTTCTTTTTTACTTCTTCCTTCATCCCGCAAGGTTTCCTGTGAGAAGCTACCTTATTTTGTGAGTAAGTAAATTTGTGAAGAAAGATATACAACAAGGCACTGCAAAGGCATGTTATTATGTTGAGTTAATGCGGATTACTTTCCTTCCTCCCTGCAACCGTGGATATCATGAAGAGCACGTGGTACATTGAATGACGTGATACTTAGTTTCTATCGTAATATTGATTGCTCCTGAGGCTTGAGCAAATACAAGGGTGTCACTGTATTTTTAACGTAGATCGATATTGTTACCATAGTGTAAGCTAGCGAACATGTTTGAAATAGGTCAAATTTGTTACTTCAATTGCAACTTATGTGTAAACTTTTCAAACAATTTTTCTTGAAGAAAGTTCAAATGTAGTGCGAAATCTGCTCAACTTACTTTGCGAATGCAAACCTTGTTACAAATATAACAGTTATCGTTGAATCTATCATGCTGAGCCGAAATGAGATGTATTCGTTGTAAAATTGGAAAATCTCACCTAAGACAGTAGTCAAGACCAAAATTGGATACAACACTTCACTTTAAGTTATTCTAAACTATTGCAGACAATGTCTGACTTTTAGATTTATGTGGTGGGTTTAGAATTTTCATTTTTTT